TCCAAACACTTTAAAAGATCAGGAATAGAGACCGTTTCAAAAGCCTTTCTTAGGTCTAAAAATACTGTAATACACTTTTTGCCATTATCTAAATTCTTTACGATTAAAGAGCTTAATGTGAGAATAGCGTCTTCTGTGGAAAGTTGTTTTCTAAAGCCAAATTGTTGATTTGATAAAATATTATATTTATTTAAGTAGTTTAATATCCTAGTATTTAAGATTTTCTCTACAATTTTGGACAAAGCTGGTAGGACAGAAATAGGGCGGTAGTTATTTATATCGTCTCTGTTTCCACTTTTATAAACAGGTGTTACTAATGATTGTTTAAGTGCGTAAGGAAATATACCACTCGTAAAACAGAGGTTTATGAGGTAAGTGAATACGGGCACAAACAAATCCTTTCCCAACTTCAAAAACCTGTTTGGAATTTTATCCCACCCGGAAGCGCTATCAGAGTCAAGACTCATCAACACCCTCTCTACTTCAGCATTATCTGTTTCGAGCAAAACAAAAGAGTTTAGGAGTACAGTAGTAGAAGTGGATTTAGGAGTCGGGCTGTATAACATCTTAGACTTAATTTCTTCAGCCAGGCAACTACCTATTCCGGGGAGATATTTATTAATATAATTAACTGAATCCTGGGGTGTAGGTTTTATATTTAATAAACACGAATTTGAAACATTCCTTTTTTTAAATTGTGTAACTTCATTTATATTTTTCCAGAGGACTTTATTATTTTTACAAGATTTAGAAATGACGCTACAATCATGTTTACGTTTTTGTTTTTTAGTAAGTTTATTACAAAAATTTCGGTAACGACGGTAAGTGATCTTTAATATATCATTTGTTGGGTCTTGTTTTAGTTTTTTTTGCATAGCATTTCTGTTTCTTATGCATCGAAGTATACCTTCTGTCATCCAGGGCTTGATAAATCTCTTTGTCCCAGGAACAGTTAAAATTTTGGTGTGTTTAACTAATGCAATAGATATTTTATCGATCAATATATTAGTTAGAGTATTTGGGTTTGTACATAAATATAAATCGTCAAAAATTTTTAAATGTAGACTGTTTAAGGCGGCATTAAAGTCAGTTACAGATTTTGTTTTATTGGATTTGCTTAAACTATTATTGCCCACTAGGCTAAGTAGAGTCATATTGTGGTCTGTTATAGTTGTATCGAGAATTGCGACGAAAGCGGTTGTTCTTTTTTATCAATTTTTAGCATAAAATGGTCCAAACAACGCAATCCTCTGGTAGGAAAATGGTGGCCTGGAAGTATTTCATTTGTAGCCAAAGCGGTCAGATATAGACTTCTGTTATTTCTTTCATAGCTTTGCTCACACATAATAGGTAATAAATTTATATTAATGTCACCCGCTATAATAATATGACTAGTTTTAACTGAATTTAGATGTAAATCAATAGAGTGAATAAATTCGTCAGCTTTTGTTATGGAAGGAGAACGATATATACCTAAAATTGTATATTGATTTATAGTTATTTGTAAACATGAAGCTTTGTATAAATTTATTTCCTTGACAAGTGCTCTGTAAACATTCTTTATGTAAACTACCACACCATCGTTTTGATTTAACTGAGTATTTGTCGAATAGGAACAGTAGTTATCTAAAGTGGGAATTGGTTTATTTTTATCTAACCAGCACTCCGTCAAAATTATTATATCAATGCAAGGTTTAAGTTGCGCTAAGTGTATTAATAGACTGTCAAAATTACAATATATACTTGTTATATTTTGAGCTATAATATTCAGATTTCCATATTTAAAAACAGCGTTTGAAGACAAATCATCTATTGAACATTTTATAGACTGAAATTTCTGTGTCGTCTAATTCCTGTAGTGTATTCAGAGAACTATTCATGGACGAAGTAAGAGAACTGCTGGGCCATTAGCATAGAATTTGTATTAGATTTTGTAATGTAAATGTAATGTGAATATGTGTGTGTAGAGTAAATATGTGATTTAATTATTAAACGTATAATTTTATTAAACAGTTTGAGTTTTGTTTGTGTATGAATGTTTTGTATCTGTTTTTTGTATTTAATGTAAGTTTGTAAGCAATATAAATTAATTTTGAAGTAACAATATAATAAACCATTTAAACAAAAAATTAAACAAAAAAGCAGAAAACATGCAGATAGAAATGATAGTAATAGTCATGCCTCATTATTATGCAAAGTTAGCTGGTGCAATTGTGCTTCATTTCTTACATGAATGATGGGTGAATTTTCACTTCTTCTCAAGTACACCTTGCCGTAAGATGTCCAACAAAACTGAAACCTTTTAGTTTTCACTAGATCTCTTGCCAAAAAGAATAGTCTAGAGCTCTTAGGTGTTAATTGCTCCGATACGAAAATCGGGGTGTCTTCCTCACGAGTGAAACCTAAGTGTTTTGCTTGGAGTTTTGAAGATTTATTCTTATTGTTGTAAATTTTACACGATCTAAGCAAGGCTGTCTTTTGAATCGTGGAGTTAAGTTCCACGAGAATAGGTGTTTTCTTTTCTCCCTCTTTTTTCCCCTGGTTCTGAAAACATCTTTAACATCTGACTTTAGTATCTCGTAGTTCACTGATTTCGATAAACAGACAACCATCTCTATAAGGTCCTCTTTGGTTTCATTCTTCGTTTTAGGAACATTCTTTAATTCAATGCCTGTTTTCCGATTTATTCTTAGTTGATCCTCTAGTTTTTCTTCCAAAATTGTGATGGTTTCTCGTTCTTGTTTACTTTTTATCTCTAACTCATTAAGCTTTCTACGTAATTCCTCGTTTTGTGTTGTTAAGAGGGCAATATTATTTTCAATGTTGGAGTTGCTTTGCTGAATTTCTTTAAGGTTAACTTTAATATCCTCAAGTTCTTTTTTCTGGGACTTAATTAAAGAGGTTAACATTTTTGGAATTTCATCTTTAAGTTTAGTGTCCAACAAGTTACTGACTTCCTCGTATGTTAGTTGTTTCGGAGTATGGTTTGGACTCTTTTCTATATCTAATTGAGGTCCCGGACTCTTTGACATTTTCAAAGGTTGTGCTTTTGATATTGGAGTATTATCGTTTCGGTATCTTCTTGTTATTTGTGTACAGCTACCACACATAAAAGATTTTTTCAGGGAGTCTCTATGTTCTCGAAAGTCAGCTGAGGTGTAATTGGCACACCTATAGTGTAGGTGCAATTTACAGGCCGTACAAGTTAGAAGTTCAATTTGTGTCACAGGTTTTAAGTACGAAACACACTGCATAGTAGTAAAAATTCAAATTGTTTCGGCCGCTTATATGCTAGCAAAAAACTCCAAATTAAGGTCGCCTCCAGTCCAGGTTAAGGACGACTCTATTCTAATATATTTACTAGATAATATTATTAGGATATTATAAATGTTAAAGAGTAATACCAAAGTCGCAAAGCCGATGTCTTGCGCTATAAGATCGTTGTTGCGTGCGTTTGATGTACCAGGGCGGCAAGAGGCGCAAGAGTTTCGTTGACTCGATGTGTTAAGTAGCGCACACACAAAGATGTTACGCTCACGTAGAGATGCGTTGAGTTGACGTGTTACGTAGCGCGCACACAGAGATGTTGCGCGTACTGTTAGGAGGGCCGCTCTGAAGGTGTTTTTAAAAAAAACTTTTACACCCAATCCCGGAAGTTCTTTTGGTTTATTTCCCCAATATTAAAATAATACAAAAAATGTACTAAAGCCGCGAACGGCGTGTGCGATATGCACTTAATATGGGTTGGAGCTGCACTGCCTCGATTACCTCAAACACTACGCTTATATACGAAATAAAATAATCGGGTCAGCGCTTTTAACTAAATAGGGTTGGACATAACATCTCCCCCCTTTTGACGGAGCTCATCCTTCTTTTAAATAAGGGATGAGCAGAGTCTTACAAACAACACAGTGAAAATTAGAAATAATTTGAATACAAAAATAATCATAAAATAGTTAAATAGAATTAGTTCAATTATTTATTATTATTATAAAATCAAATAGAGTTGATACAAAGGCATAGTAAAATAAAACTATTCTCAAACAATATCTTCACAAAATTATTAAACTTATTTATTGACATTATGAACTAGTATATTTTTATTAGATTCAGTGAACAATGAAATAGTAAAAGATTCAGTGAATAATGAAATAGTAGAATATTCAGCTATGAATTAATAATTTTTTTTTTATTTCAAATATAAACATTTAATAATATTAATATCTAAGACACAGTGTATAAAATAAAAGGAATATAAACTTAATTATAATGTAACATAAAATTTATGGTATAAGTATAGTCAAGTAATATAGTAATTAATTATTACATAAGTTTCGATTTGATAAGTTGAATTTACCAAATGTTCTTTTCATTTGATTTTGCACTGGCATGTTGGGTAAAGATATAGAATCCTTTTTATCATCGTCTGATGATGAGACTTCACTTAACCCAATAGAATTACTAACTTTTGATTCGTGTTTAACAATTCGTCGTGTATTGCACTGATTAAATATTTGTATACAACAGCAAGAATCGTTATTTCTCTTAATAAAGCAACAAAACATTTTATAGGAAACATATAAAATAAAACAAATGATCAAGAAGTATGTAAACGATGAATAGTAATTACCATATTTAACCCTAGAAAGATAACCATATTTTGACTGTCACAAAAGATAACCATGCGCTTCGGAGGCGCACGATATATTAATAATTTTTTTTAACGAAATACCTATTTATTGTGTTTATTTACTTGATTGTTTTGAAATGTGGTTAATGAACTAATAATAAAAAACTTTTTTTAGTGAAATATGTTATATATTTTAAACATTAAACTTAAATCAAAAAACCTCTAGAAAAAATCAACAAAATTAGCAGTCTTCTGTTTACAAGAACATAGTATCAAAAAATAATAATTTTTTTCTTAAAAACGAATTATATTATTTCATACTAACTAATCAACTAAAAAAAAAAATCAGTCAAAACTATAATCGTTTGGCTCAAATTTGGTTTGATAGGCATTCAAAACAAACATCATTTTTGTGTTCGCCGCAAACTGTTTTCCTGCATTTGACGCAAGTCATCTTAGACATTCTCTTTTTTTTATTAGTGCAAAAGGTGCAGTACCGCCTTTTCTTGGCTGGAGGTTCTTCTTCATTATCTGTATCGTTCTGCACAACCGGTTTCGGAAGAATATTTGCGATATTATCTCTCACATGCTTTGGCAAAGTAGGAGCTTCCAGTCTTTCCTTCATCCACGATTCAGATAACTGGGCGCTTAACTTTTTCATATAACCCCTTCTATTTAGAGGCTTTTCATTTTTCGCAAGAATGTTGTGACAATATATAACATAAGAATTGACGAATGCTATGTTCAGAATGCCATAAAACATAGACATTGGCCATCTATTGGTTTTCCTCGAAAATGACATTGAGGAACACATTTGATCGAAAGTGTCCACCCCGCCTTTGGTCTGATTATAATACATTATAATTTCAGGCTTACCAGTTATTGGGTTGATGACACCGTCTTCATCACACGATGATAGCAGGTAAACCATCTTAGAGGGCTTCGGTTTGTACGAGACTAGGGTCAAACATCCATCGTAGCAGAACATTGACGTGCCTACCGAACGAGACCGAGTGTTTTTCAGTTCTTCGGGGATTTCTCGTTTATTGGATCGTAAAGTGCCAACGAGGGTTAGTTTGTACGGTTCCTGAAGTAGGGATTTCGCGAGAGGAACCGAAGTGAACCAATTGTCACAAGTTATATTTCGGTTTGTGCCATGCAAGGGCCGAGACAACTCCTTTACATAAAATTCTCCTTGTGGCATCCCATTAGTGTTCGTAGCTCTGCCAATATACGGCATTGCATTTAGCATGTACTTTGTTCCGCTGTCACACAGCATAGGGATTTTAATTCCATATTTATTGGGTTTATTGGGGATATACATGCGGAACGGACACCGTCCTCGAAACCCTAATAATTGCTCATCTATTGTGACATGCTCTCCTGGTGTATAATTCAGTTTACACTGAGTTACAAATAATTCCCATATTTTTCTAATGTGTATGAATGGATCTTCATGACGTAAAGAGGGTCGTATAGACTTGTCATCAAATCGTAGACATTTAAGCAGGAAATCAAAACGATCCCTACTCATCACTGCCACGTACCGTGTACCTGAAAAACTACTATCGAACAGCTCATCAGTAGACAAGTGATTGTCTTTCATTGCTGCACTCAAAGTCAGTATCGCAAACAAAGCTTGGACTTCTGTCACAGACGTATCTCTGAAAGAGGCTTTGATCATGTTATCTCGACGTTTCACAGAGATCTCAACATTCGTCCAACGGACGACCTCATCCACTATTTCGTCGGTAACAAACAAATTAAAACATAAGATTGGATCACATATATTTCGACACATGCGCGTTGGACCTCTACTTGTGCGAATAATATTTATGGCAGATGTCCTTCCGCGACTTTGTCCTTTTATTGTCGACCAGCAATGTTGGTTCTTACCCCTAAGCACACGGCGATCAGGAACAATTATGCGGTGGTCACGACGGGATGATTCCGAAGTTCCAGTGGGCTCTGAAGATACAGGCGGACTTATATCGTCTTCATTTTGTGTATCATTCAATTGTTGTGGCACCTCATCATCTATAAACTCGTCTTCGAAATCACTCTGTATGTCATCTTCACTCAAATTATCTTCTATCTCACTGTCACTTCCTTGCTCTCGTTCATGCTCGCTCTCTTCCTCTTCAGCGATAAACCTAGATATTGCATCATCAGATAGTGTTCTCCGGCTCGTCATGATGAAGGCGAAAAGATTTTATGCTAAAACAAAGAAATAAACAGTTATAATAAACATTTTATGTAAGTATAAACAAATTCATACTTTCACTAAAAGTTACAATAAAGATAACCATGCGCCTTTGGAGCGCAACACTTAATCATAACTGCAAAACTATGGTACTTACCGCGTAAAAACGGCCGTCCCGCGACTTTGTGCACCGACCACTGAGCTAACTTATAAGGACAGGTAGATACGCGCGCTCATTAGAAAGAGACAGCGATGTCAAACCGACGCGGGCGCCTCTGAAGCGTAGGTTATCTTTCTAGGGTTAATAATGTGAGATTGTTCTTGAACCTTATTGATCTCACTTTCTAAGTTATTTAAGGAGTGATAAGAATATTTTAGAGAGTCCATGTCTAGGCTAGTTAGAGATATAGGGGATAAGTAGGGAATCGATTTATTTAAAACTTCCTTATTACAACAATCGTCTTCTGTAATCTTAAAGTTTAAATTCATTTTATTTTCAATTTTAATAGATTTAGTTGTAGATGGTAATAATTGAATTGTCTTAGAAAAACCAATACAGCTTTCATTTAAACTTAGGATACCTGTTCCTAAAATAGTAAAATCTTGTATTATATTATTACATTTTATAGTTAATTTACATTTTTCAGATTGTACATAGATAAACTTATTATTACTTATTTTATACCATACATCGATTTGTCCATATAAAAGTTTAGAGTTACATTGAGATGGCAAGGATAACGTTACTTCAGTTAACAATTTCGTTTCACAAGATCTTTATTGTAGAAAATATAGAAATTAAAGGACATATAGAATAATCATTACTGATAATATTACAATCATTTAAATTATCTAACAAACTATAACTAAGTCTATGTTCTGTTATTCCAAGATAAGGCTTGGTGGGTTGAATTAGGGCGAAAGAATTAGGATTACTAGGATTATGAGGAGTTGGTAAGGGTATGCATTTGTATAAAGTGAACCTTAAAGAAGAAATCAGTGGTATGCGTAATATGAAAATTATTCTTTGATTATAATAGAAAGATGTGAGTTTTGAAATATCTATCAGAGTATGTATATTTTCAACCGTTAATGGTACTGGAAAATCTAGTCGCTTATTTATATAGTTACTCTGTTTTAATAGCTCGCGAAATAAGTTTGTAGGACTTATCACACTAGGATGTAAAATGTTTACCTTAGAAAATAAGATAGAGTTTAGTACATTATCTAAGAAATTAGAAATAGTGGCCAAAGAGCTTTCTATTATATTAAGTAAAGCATATATTTTAGAGATGTGTGATAATTGGTCATTGTTTTTGACAATTTGGGATTACACAATATTTAAAGAATTTATTTGAGAATTTAATTTATTTTCATTCATATTTAGTTTATATATTGTTGAGTTAAAAACATTACTAGACGATTGAATTATGTGGATATTATCGTTCATTAGTTTTAGTAGTTCGGATTCGCTATTTTGACAAGCGCTAATGGCTGCATCGTACTTTCGTGCATCATCAGCATCTAGAGTTCCAAAAAAGAATTTCAAAAATTCTCCACCGAATTCTAAAGCTCGTTTATGCCTTGTTTGTTTCTCGGTAGAAACTATATACGACAAAGATTCGACTTTAGCAAAATTTGAATTTAATAATACTTCAATAGGGCTTATGATATCATTACATTCAACGAAACCACGGAGTTGCAAGTTTTTGCAGAGCGTCGCAGTTTTGATTATAAGTGAATGTATATTGTCTAGATGTGGCTTAAGTGAAACTACGTCTATATGCGTTACAACATTCCAAAAATCGTTATAAAAATTAATTGTAGTTATTTCATCGAAATAAATACCTGGACTATTATAAATAGGTAGAATTTGAGTTTCAGCGTTGAATTGGTGGCTTATGGCCCTGAAATAAAGTGAAATTAGAGATGAGCTGGTTTAATTTCATTAATATGGTATTTCACATGCTTACGACCTATGAGAAGAGTTATATTATGTTTGCCATTTAATTTAATTATTTTATAAGGACCTTTCCAGATAGGGGATAAGGCTTTGCGAAGTCTATGGTGACATTTTAAATAAACCATATCACCTGTTTTGTAGGATATATTTTTACTATTTGTGTCATAATATTTTTTCGATGTTTCTTTACTTTTGATTATGTGTTCTAATGCTTTTTGTCGACTAAGATTCATGCGATATTGTAATGCGCGGATGTATTCATGATAAGTTGTATCGTTACTCGTATTATATAAAGAATTAGGTATTGTTGGTTTATGCCCATATAGTAATTCATAGGGTGTATATGTAGTAGTGGTATGAGGGGTAGTGTTGTAGGAAAATACTGCAGTGGCTAAATAACAATGCCAATCATTCTGGTTTTCGTTAACAAAAGATTTAAGATATTCCTTGAGTGTAGCATGGCTACGCTCTAAGGCACCATTTGTTTGTGGGTGATAGGGGGTAGCATGTAAGGGTTTTATTTTAAATATTTCAATTACCTGTTTAAATAATTCCGACGTGAAACATGTGCCGAGATCTGTTAATATCGTTTTGGGAATTCCGAACAGAGAGATAAAGTAAACTAATGTACGAGCTACTTCATCACTGCTGGAAGTTATCATTGGATATACACATAAGAATTTGGTTAGGTCATCTTGTAGGGTTAATATGAATTTGAAGTTTTGCAAACCAGCTTCGGGTAGTGGACCGACTATATCTAGAGCTAATCTTTCGAATGGTTTTGTGCTTGTAGAAGTTATCACCATTGGAGCCTTATTACATGTTCTTAGTGGTTTATTTACTTGGCACAACTTACAATTTTTAACATAATTTTCTATGTCGGAACGCATGTTTTTCCAAAAATATAGATCTTTTAAGCGGTTTAACATCCTTTTAATTCCGGGGTGACCAGCAATTGTTGAGTCGTGATTTTCTTTGAGAATTCGTGGAATTTCGGCAGGAGTAGGGTAAATAATTTGATTTCGGTATATATGAATTTTAATATTAGTATTGTGAAATATGTAGGCAATTATATTGTATATTTTTGTATAGGATAGTTTAGAGAATGGGTCAGCAAAATCGGAAATGGCTAAGTCAGTGATTTGGCTATTTCTTGTTATAATATTGTCGCGTAGTTGCATTAATAAATTGTAAATATTTCGGTATGTTAACTCTTCGTAATGGTGGATTTTTGTACACAAGAAATAAAACGTTTTATTATTCTCCTTAATATAAGAGATAGTGTAAGGTTCTCGTTCTGAGTTTATTAAGCTTTCAGAGTTTTGCAACTGGGATAGAATATTTTTACAATATGGGATAGATTCATCAAAGTCGAGGGATACGGGGCAAACAATATTATTTAATTTAGAAAGGTGTAATGCTTCTTGATGTTCTTCGATTATAGTATTTGTGGAAATGGAACTAGTAAATTGCTTTTTAAAATATGATTCATATTTGAGTTTATTAAGGACTACATTCGAATTTAAGGCGTGAATGGGTATGCGGGAAAGAGCATCGGCGTTTGAATTTTGTTTTCCTTGTTTGTATACAATTTCATAATCATATTCCTCTAACTTCAGGCGCCAACGCATTAATCTACTTCCTGGATCCTTGACATTAAAAAGCCAGACCAAAGGTCTGTGATCAGTGACTATTTTAAATTTGTTACCATAAATATAGGGACGAAATGTTTTTACAGCGAAGAGGATAGCTAAAAGTTCTTTTTCCGTTTTTGAATAGTTGCCTTCTTGTTTATTTAATGTTCTTGAGGCATACGCGATCGGTTTGTCTTTTCCGATAGGACCTTGCGATAATACTGCGCCAACGGCATAATTACTGGCGTCTGTGGTGACAATAAACGGTTGCGAAAAATCGGGATATTGAAGCAACGGAGCTGAAGTTAATTTTTCCTTTAACAAATTGAAAGCTTGGGTTTGTTCTTGTGTCCAATTAAAATTAATATCCTTTTTTAATAATGACGTAAGGGGTTTTGTTATTTTTGAAAAGTTATCTATAAATCGACGGTAGTAACCTACTAGACCTAGAAATGATTTAATTTCCTTGGGATTTTTGGGAATAGGATAATTGGATACTGATTTTACCTTGTCAGGGTTAGGTGAGACACCTTTGTCAGTAATTACATGACCTAAATAAGTGACTTCGCGTCGAAGGAACTCGCATTTATCTGGTTGTAGTTTCAAATTGAAATCTCGAAACCTATCAAAAACAAGACGTAATTTTTCCATATGACTTTGAAGATCGTGGCTGTAAATAATACAGTCATCTAAGTAGACGAAACAGTGGAGACCTTGGAGACCAGAAAGGACGGTGTTCATGAGACGTTGAAACGTACTAGGAGCACATTTTAATCCAAAGGGCATGCGATTAAATTGAAAATGACCGGAAACGCCATTTGTGTTGATTACTGTAAAACCAGTCTTTTCAGCATCGTTAGGATTGAGAGGAATTTGATGGAAGCCGGAAACTAAATCAAGTGTCAAAAAAAATTTAGAATGTCCTAATTGATCTAATATATCGCTAATTAATAGGATAGGATAAACTTCATTTATGGTCACATCATTAAGTCGCCTATAATCTATGACAATGCGCCACTTCTTTTTGCCAGATGCATCCATTTTCTTAGGCACGACCCACACTGGGGCGCTCCACGGAGATATTGACGGCTTAATTATATTTTGTTTTAACATTTTTTTTAATTGTGAATCTACTTCGTCTTTATGGCATTGAGGAAAACGATATGATATGACTTAACGTGAATAGGAGGGGTGTTCCCTGTATTTATCGAGTGTTGAATCGCGTTTGTACAGGTGAGGTCGTCTCCTTCGAGATAAAATATGTCTGAGTATTGTGAACAACAGTCTAGTAAAAGTTTTTTCTCCTCAGAGTTTAAATGAGAGTGACGAATTTGTTCGCAGACGCATTGAACACGATTAGAGTGGGTTGTCGAAATTGTATTTATGTTATTACA